ATCTGTGCGTGTCTGTCTGTGTGTGTGTGCGTGTCTGTGTGTGTGTGTGTGCAGTGTGTGTGTGTGTCTGTGTGTGTGTGTGTGCAGTGTGTGTGTGTGTGTGTGTGTGTGTGTGTGTGCGGGTGCTGATGCCACTGATGCTGCACTTGGTCTTATTAGCACGTCCACAGACAATGCCCCGTGCTCTTCTTCCAGCTGTGGGTAAAATAAAGCTGCACCTCCCATTGTGTGTCCTACGCTTTAGTTCAGAAGACAATTGTGTTTGCATTAATGAGTCCAATTGAATGAGATGAGTTTGCAAGTATTCATATTGGCTTTTGTGTCAGAGGATTAAAAGTGGAATATTTTTCCTGTCATATTTTGGTGCGTCACATCTACTCAGCCGTGAGTTGACATATTTTTGTAAATGGGATTTTTGCAGTGCCAAGCTAAAGCCTGAGAGACTGTGTATAAATAGAAAAGGGAAGGGCACATAGATTTAATGCTGTTTTCAAAATGTCACTCGTTGTATCTTGTCTGTACATTGGTTTTCATTATTCTTACTTGAGGCCATCTACTGCTGCTGCTGCTACTGCTGCTACTAATACTACTGCTGCTACTAATACTACTGCTGCTGCTACTACGGCTATGCCTCTGCTACCACTACTAATATCTGAACAACTCTCATCAATTGTAAAGCGTTTTACGTGACCTTGGTCTGTAAAAAAATGCTAGAATGAGTCTGGTGTGTGTGTGAATGGTTGGTGGTGGTCAGAGGGGCCGATGGCATAGACAGGTTGCCTTGCTTCTGTCAGTGTGCCCCAGGGCAGCTGTAGTAGTAGTAGTAGTACCACCGTGTATGGAGTGAATGAATAATGACATGTGAAGGGTCTTTGAGTGTCCAAAAAAGCGCTGTACAAAACCGATACATTATTATTATTATTATTATTACTACTGTTGCTGCTACTAGTGCAACTACTGCCAATCAAGGGATAGTGCTGAAATCCCCCCAAATATATGTATTTGTTTGGCCACATAGCGCTAAGTAATCACCTTTCTGTTTTGTACATTTTTTGTGGGCACATCTGAATATGAAAGCCAGGTCTCAGAAACTAAGCAGGGCACGGCCTGGGTTAGTACTGTGATGGGAGACATCTGGGAACACCAGGTATTGCAGTGGGGCGGCTGTAAAGTACCAAACTGCTGTTGTGTCCTTAGGCAAGACACTTCACCCACATGGCTCAGTGTGGGTCTGGTAGAAGTCTTGGTGTTGGCCAGAGATTAGTTATAGATTAGTAGAGTATCATGAAGAGTATGGAAAATAAATGTTCGGTTTTCCATATTTGATCAATATCTTCATCACGGCCTTAAACGTCTTTTTTCTATTACATCAACCAAATGAGACGAGACATCAATCAGTCTCCTCAAAATTAAACCTTTCCGCCAAGTCTCTGTGTCTCGTCGCAGAGGTGAGAGTGTAGGAACTGGTTCACATCGCTCCAATTCCCTTCTGTCACATCCCATCATGTCCCCCGGCTGATGGGACCCCCTCCTCCGCCCTGCCTCTCTGCTCATCTGGAGAGAGCCCCGAACGCCCATGCATGTCTGTCACCGAGGGGAGGGGTGAAGGCGGGGTCAGAGGGACAACTTTGGAGCATTACGTGATTCCATTTCTACAGCTATCACGCAATCTGGAATGTGGATTTGTGTATTAAAGGAGATCTGTTAGGCTCAACATTCTTAGACGACAATGACACACTCTTGGACAGACGGAAGCTTGGTGTTTGCTTTCAGATTCCAGCAGATGGCAGCAAACTGGAGGCTAGCTTCCCGCACAAACGGCAGTAATCGTTCTGCACCAACATGCGTGAACATGATTTTTATTTTTCTGTTTGTTGTAGCGCACAATAAACTGCTGTGGACAATTGTAAATCAAACCTTTCCGACGATAAATGAGTGGATGGTTCCCGCAGTAAATATTCGCTCATGAGATTTAGTCTGGTGAGCTTAAACCAGTATTTTATGGAACAAACGTGTAGCTCCTCCCTTGTCTCAAAAATCACCATTATCATCAGAGCAGAATTTTGCCTTTTAAACAAACATATTTCTTCTGAAGAAGTTTTGGCAATTATAAAAAAATACATTCTTTACATTCACCTATGATGTTGTCGGATGGGATTACCGAGGGACTGGTTTGTGAGTCAGTAAAATATATGCAAGCTATTATTATGAATTTGACAACAGCATTGATGTTTAAACCAATTAACTGAACCCATTAACAACTTGTGTCCTTGGGCAAGACACTTAACCCTACTTTGCCCAAAGCCCCAACTGAAAGATCTCAGCTCCTGTGGACTCAGCACCTGCAGGAGGATCAGTGAGGGGCTGGTGCTCTGTGGACTGGGTGCAGCTCTGACTGCCACCCCCCCGACCCAGAAATGGATTAAGGGGAAGAAAATGGATGGATGGATGGATTAACAACTTATTAATTAAAGGTAAACTTAATTAAAAAACACCACATGCAAGTGGTTTGGGCCATAATGAGGATTGAAATATTGTGTCATTTGTTAAATAAGTAATTATGCAGTATTGTGTAATGTGTTTGCAGATGGTTGTTTTCAAATTTGGAAAAAATATTGAAACTAGAAGTGCACCAAATGATCGGCATGATTGACTTATCACAGAAAGAAATCACGTAGATCAAAAGGGCCGACCACATTTACACTTTATCTATCTATTGAGGCATTTTCTGTTATTTAGTCCACTCATGTTTCAGCCATAAACACAAAATCATGATTAAAAAAAATTAAAATTAGTTTGTGCGTTTGATTGATTCCTACATGTAACAAGAATTAAATTTGTCTGATTGGACAAATATAAATGCATAAATTCATATTCGGCTGGAGAGTAGCTGAAGCGGATCAGACCAGCGTCACTCCTGATTGGTCTATGATTACGAGATCGTTAGCTCCATCATTTGGCTCCAGATTCCCAATCATGGGGCCCATTTGAGTTAGCTCTAATCAGCTTCTTCCGCAATAAGGCAGATGCTATGACGTCTTCACTCGGTTAGTGCACTCCCTCTCCGGTCTGTGGTCTAGCTATTTCACCGTGGCCTGTACTGACTGCATTATTCGGATGACCCTACACATGAGCCAACACGGATCACGTCAACGGGCCTCCATCCAGCCACCGATCCCACATAGAGTAACCTATATCTCTGAACTGTCTCTTTTCTCTGCACCCGCTTCAAAAGGCAGCGTACGTGGCATTGGCTTTACACAAACGGTCTATGACTCACCACCCAAAGTCCCAGAGCCGGTCTCCGCGGGCCCTGTGCGCGTGCCAATCCACTGGACGCTCTCTTTTATGTGAGCACACTGGAGGTCTTTGTGAAGGTGGAATGACTTGTCGATCCATTTTTATCGTCGCATACTGAATTAATATCACGGTTGGGTGATTTCTCTTTTGTTCAGTCGTGTGTTGTGGTTTTTAAGATAAGTGTGGATTGTATTGATGACAAAAAATGTCAATTAAGACTAAAGGCATATTCTATTATAATTTTTCATATCTCAAACAATATATGGACAAAAATACTGGTGAAAAAATATGGAAATGTAATTAATCTAATCTTAGCATTTACATTTGTTCAACTGTTTTGGATGCTCCCGTGGTATGAATACTATACATTATAACGGTTCTTTAATGTGTGTATAACTTGTTTTTATACTATACTTATACGCTTGTTAAACCAACAGGATTTCAAAAATGGTATTGTTATTTTAATGTACGTAAATCTTGCATGTAGATTTTTGCATGTATATATATACCATATTTAATGATGATTATGGCTTGCCTTCTTTAAACAAATACAATGTTTTGTGTCTCTAAGCTGTGAGCCTATTATCAGCATTATAACTATCTTATAACTCACTTTGCATGTAATGAGTCTGAGATATATTAGTATTACAGATATTATCATGTATTTTCCCCCACCCCTCACCCCCTTCTACACTGGCGTCTATATATATAACGCTCGGTTCCGTATTTGCCTCTGCCACCAAATTGCCTGCTGTTACTTCACCTCTGCTCTGCTCTTCTGCCGCACCAAAATATTACAACATCATCCTCAGCATTACCACAAATCCCCCTGCTTAAATCCTCCATAGACAAATAAATAATCAAAACAGTGCTGACAACCGGTTACTGCCTCGTTGAAGCTGTTGTCATACAGTCCAGCCAATGGCGAGGCAGAGAGGCGTGTCATGGACTGGCTGCGTGCCTGCTCCGCTCTGCCTGTGTTTATTGTGAATGAACCGTAGCGTTGCCTGCTTCTGAGCTCCGGCTAAAAGGAGAATCATTTTGCAGCGCGGATTTGAAGGCGATTTGCCGGAGTGCCTCGGAGGAAAGAAGAGAGAGGGAACACATTTTGTCAGATTGGAACGGAGAGCTGTCAAGACAAGCAGTGGCTGATGCATGGCTTGTCAATTTTTCATAGAGGAAAATGGGGAGTGAGAAAGGAAAGCCTTAAGGAGACAACTTCAGAATAGGTAGATCACCGGTTGGCAAGCGAAGAGGAGAGGACTATCAACATTCGAAGTCGACCTCAGCAACAAAAATATGTCAAGTTAAGCAGTGGCTGATGCATGACAAGGGACATACAGTTTTCCAAGATTTTTGTGACATTCAGACATATCGAGAAAGGAAAATACAATCCTTAAGAAGACGATTTTGCTAACGCTACAGGAAAGGCAGCTTTTTGTTTAAAGATTTTTAAAAAGGTTGATGATCGTTAAGCTTTTGGCAAGCAGTGGTTGATGCAGCAGCAGTTTCCCAAGCTTTCTCACAACATTCCCTCCCAAATAATGGGGAGCAAGAAAGAAAAGCCTTAAGGGGACGATTTTACAAAGGTGGCTCATTCTTAATATCAGGTTTCATAGCAGTTACAGACATCCAGGTCTGTTTTGTGAGGGGAACCGTTGGAGGGGGAAGACAAGACGGAAGGGTGTCGAGGTCCGGCCATGTCTTCGAACGAGCTGAGCGTGATGGACATGGACTCCTGCATCCGAACCTTCAAAGAGCACATGCACCTGGAGCTGGAGCCGCCCAGGGTGCCCGGGGTGATGGGGGGCAAGAGGGGGGCCACGTCTCCCAAACTGTCACCCCGGAGCTCACCCAGGCTCTTCCGCAAGCTCATGGTGAACAAGAGCATCAGGCAGCGGAGGAGGTTCACCGTGGCACATACCTGGTAAGGGGCTGAGGATTATGATGGAAATGTAAAAATAAGTAAACTATAAATTGGGATTTGGAAAGTGCAGTGTCAAAGGACAAACAACGAGGAAAGGTTGCTTGGATATTTTGCCCTACGTCCCTCTAAATGAACGTTTACCAAATCTGTGAAGGGTAATATCATTATTAGACGATTGGGGTCAAATAGTAATAACAAAAATAACACAATCTAATCTAGGGGTTTTTCCATATTTCTGTATTTATTCAGACAACGTCATTGTGATTTCCAATTTCAACGTTGCATATCTTTTAACACCTGCTGCCCTAACTGCTTCACATGCACATAAGTCATGAAAAACAGTAAAGGAGAAGACAAGTTTCCTTAAATAGTTACACAATGTAATGCCACAGTAAAAAAAAATCCATTCTATTTGTAAATAAAACATATTTCCAAATGCCCCACTAAAGATGAGCTCTGTATCTCAAACAGTTGACCTGTTATGATAGAAATTGTTAAAATACGGCGCTGTTTATAACATTTCAAGATACAGAATTTCATTATAAAAACATGTGAAGAAATTACCCCTAAAAAGTGAGTATTTAGCTTTTATGAGTTAATCATTTGTGAAATTCCATTTTGCTATAATTACAGCAGTGTTTCCTTATGCTCTACTGTGTTATGTTTTTTTGGCCAATACTTTGCAAACACTCAAGTTTAGTATTGTCACACACACATACATACACTCAAAATAAAAGTAATTTCTCTTCAATTTTAACCAATACCTTTCACAGTGTAACGAGTAAGGTACATTTGGAAGAAGCTATGATATGACTCTGAATAAAAAAGCTCAGTAATGTGCCTTTTATGAAAACATGTCAGAACTGAGAGGCAAGCAGATCAAAAAAAAGGTACATATTTAGAATTATGTATGTGCTTTTAACAGTCTCTGTCGGTGAGCTCCTTTCTCTGGCTCCTCTCACAAACCAAGTCCTTCAATAAGATTTTTTGCATTGCCTCTTGTAGTCCATCAATATTTAGGGATTCAAACCCTTATTATCCCAATTTTATAAGCAAGTAGATGTCAGTGACGTCCAACACTTTGAACGACATCATCGGCTCGTACGCTGAGGTCCAAGGGACGGGGCCTTCTCTGTGGCGGTTCACCCAGATTCAAACACCTTTTTAACACTGCTCGAGTTATCTGGTTCTCTGTTGTCTTCATCTAATTGTTTTTATTATATATATACATTTATTGTGACTTTAATCAAGGCTGTGTTTTTTTTTTTTTTTACATTTTATCTGACACATTATTGAGGAAATGTATTGTTAATGTATGTGCAGCTCTTGGATAATGCTCAAATAATGTGGATTGCATTGGATTTAACAATATGGAGGCAAAAGTGAGCAGCGTCGTGCCGTAAATGAGAAACTGGCGAATCCAAGAGATATGGGATTGATTAGATGACAGAGCCCCATTACGGTCGTCGCATTTAGCGTCGTACGTCTGCTGGTTACATAATGGCCCTGACTTACCTCATTCTTAAACCTCCGAGTGAAGTGTGACAACTCATTTTTCTTCAGGCCTTATGTCGAAGAACAGTTATGCAATAGTCCTCTGTGTCGTCGTCAGAACGACATGTCCTCTTAGAATGACACCTACATTTTTTGTTCTCGTTTAACGCTTACCCTTTGTGGGGCCCGTTTTCTGTGTGTGCCATTTTTACCGCCAAAATCTACTCCTCTCCAAGTGTAATTTCATAGTGGCAGATCGCCCTAGTTGTATGCCCTAGTCCCCCATCCCCCATCCTCGCGTCTACCTTTCCCCATGTCGCTTTTCTTGCAAGCACTGAGCATTACGCCATGTACGTATTTATTTATGGTAAAGGAAGGAAGAGCCCAAATTGGTTCAAGTTTGCAGTTGAACTTTGACTGAACAGGATATGATATGCACTCTTAGTGGTCTAACACAGTCGTTACAAATACAATCACACTTTTTTCCGACACATGCAGCTCTTGAACACTTATTACTGATGCAGTTCGCCAGTTGTGATGCTATTTCGAAAAAAAAAAAAGATGGAGTCAGGTTTCTCAATTCACAATGGCATAGGGTCATATTTGTTTTAGTGCTAAGGGGGGAGGGGTATGGCATGTGCAGCACAGTCCATACACAAGGAATCTCTATGTGCTTAAAAATTGTTTTGTTCAGCACTTTGAATTGCCTTGTGTATGAATTGTGCTATATAAATAAACTTGCCTTGCCTTGCCTTGCCTTGCCTTGCCTTTAAAAACACAAGAAGCAAAAACGTCAAACTTTCCATCAACATAAAAATGCGTGCGTTCAACTGAATGAAGATGCTATCGATAATTCGTACGCACGGCTAAACAAAAGTGTTTTCCACCCGGATTTGAACGTCCGAGTAGAAGCCTGTCCCTCATTTTCAGGAAGAAGGTTGTGGTCCGAGTGAGTTCATATGGCCCTAACATGACACAGATGTACGGCGTGGCGTGCAAGGCCAAGTCTCAAGTGTACAACTTTCTCTCTAGTGCACAAGCTGAACTGCTCTTCTCTATTCTCTGAGCCACAGGAAGCCACCTGAGCACAGGACTTATCAGATTCAGGTTCATTTTATTTGCCATTTGCAGTAAAACCACAGTGGAATACATTTGCAAGTGGCCTTCACAGGTGTTTTATAGCTAGATCCAAGTAAGCAGGCCATTACAGATGTCCAACAGGAGACCAAAGCATGGATAAGAATCTCCAAGTCTGCTATAGATGCTATTTTTTTATCCTGGCAATGTTTTCAGATGGTAAAAAGCTGCTGCTGTTACTGATTTGATGTGGCTGCTCAAATTTAAGTCCGAGTTGATTTTTATGGATATGTTCCTGTTTCAGTTCAGTTTTGTCAGAGTTTAGCTGGAGGACATTGTTTTTTTCGGAGTGTTGCCTGCATAGTTGTGACTGGTCACATTGTTTCTGCGTTATAACCATGTCCTGCGTGGCTTTGTGTCAGAGATCTTTCACCTGCAGACGGCTCCACATTTACAATTGTAAGCCCGGCACGGTGGCTGAGTGGATCGCACTCTCGCCTCTCAGCAAGAAGGTCCTGGGTTCGAATCCCGGTCGGACCAGGGCCTTTCTGAGTGGAGTTTGTATGTTCTCCCCGTGTCTGCGTAGGTTTCCTCCGGGTACTCCGGTTTCCCCTACCACTAAAAATATGTCCAATAGTTCTGGCATGTGCCTCCTGTACTGGCGACCCCGCTCCATCTCTGTGTGGAGTGAGAGACAAATGCCCAAAAATTAACAATTGTAAACCGCTTTGAGACTCAGATCTGCAGTGAAAAGGCGGTATATAAATAAAAACTTACTAACTTACAATTACCACATTAGTTGACAGCTATTGGAATAATTGATTAGTTGCGATTAACTTGTAGCCCTATAGCGTATACCCTACAGCAGGAGTCTCCAACCTGTAGCTCGGGAGCCACCAGTAGCTCACCAGCCTCTTACAGGTAGCTCGCCAAAGGATTTAGAATTTAACAAATACACTTCAACGAATACTTTACATATCTATTACAAGTATAGATATAGGGTTATACAGTATTATGGTGTGTTTTATATGTGTTCTCTGAGTTTGGTTGTAATTATTAGATCGACCTTTATTACGACTGCAAAAAGGAGTAGCTCTCTGCCTGTTTGTTTGTATAAAAGTAGCTCTCTGATTGAAAAAGGTTGGAGACCCCTGCCCTACAGTAATTAGAACTTTATATAGCACATTTATACCATATTGATAGTTTAAATTCACATCAATTGTTGTTTAAAGAGAACCTCCAAAACGGCTCATTTTGGCACAATTGAAAGCTGTTGGAGGTTGCTGTAATTGGCGTAATGTTGGTGTAACGAGATGCAGATGTCAATAATGCTCAGTGTAATGGCCGCCGTACAGCTCTCGTGGCTCCATTTGTGAGCTTGTTGTCTCGCTCTCTGGGGGAAGAGAAGGCTGAAGGGTCTCTGCGTTTCCCCGTCATCGTCGGTCACATTATTTGCAATTGCTGCTTGTTTTCTTGTCAAATGCATTCATACGTTTTTTTCCCCCATAAATTTGGTTTACTGAAATTCCTTAACGAATGATCTTGAATCGACGTGAACGATTTTGATTCATCGTTTCAAATTCAGTTTATTTGCCATTTGCAATAATGTTGTATGCAATATATTATGTTTTTGAGTCAATGTAAAGAAAAAATGACTTCCAAATTATAATTATAGTCAATTAACTAAAGTATATCTTGTCAGTTCCGGTATCTTAACTTTTTCTTAAATAACACACATCCCAACAAACATAGTAGGTCTAATGTGGAAGAAGAATTTGAGCAAATATGTGAACAAACCAGTCAACAACATGCAGCCTAAATATTTTTAGAAAACATTTCATATTTAGCAAACTTGTTAGAAAGAGCAAGCATCAAGAGACAAGCCATAAACAACACGTTAACACAACTGTAGCTGTTTCATAAAACCCTCAGATTATTCACAACAACAACAATATTGACTAAATATTTGACTAAATCTCGAATAAAACCAAAACCTCTGACTAAAGCTAAACATGATATATTAGTTTCCTAGCCTGGTCGTACCACACCATAGTACAAATTTCATCTCGTACTAAGGTCTGGATTTGCTTCATTGACTCCGTTAACAGGTGGGAGGGGTTAACTCCTTTTGCAGATTGAAATGATTGGATCTGAGTTTACTGTGACGTATGTAATGAGCCCGAGTGAGTCATTAGCATTTAGCAATTAGCCTAGCTTTAGCCATCTCCTTTGCCGCTAACGGACCCCTCGCGGAGTAGCGCCACAATTTTTTCCACCGATTACATTTGCTAAACATTCCTCTTGCTCCGGCTTCAGTTCCTTGATAGAACCAGACCGGATTACTTTACTATCGCATTTTTCACCATTGCTAAACTACAACCTGCCCGTTCGACGTCCCCCACATCTAAGGACAACACCCGCCTTCCGCGCTCGCTGATTGGTCGGCTGGAATTCAACCGATTGTAATCTCTAACACAGGGACCAGACCCAGACGTTACATGCAGTGAAATGAGGAATGAGCAGAGTTTACGGATGGATAAGACCAGGCTAACAGTTTCAGAGTGCATGTTGCAGATGTAGGAGTGTCATATGTACTGTATGTTTCACAAAGTGTCTCTAGACAATGGCACACACGGGCTTATTAAGTGTAGGTCAAAGCCATTAGACAACATGCTGACGCCCCGTCGTCCTTGAACGCACCTCGGAGGGGAGCACTCCTCTGCTGCCCGGTGATTGACAGCTGGAACAATAAGACTTGCGGAGTGTGAAAGCCGGCCAGACGAGACTGAGCGTGGCCCAGTCTCAGTCCCCAGACTCAGAGCACAATCTGGAATCATCAATGCCATCCTTCATGTCAGCTCGTTCCAGTAATTACACACATTTACATATTTGTATTAAAGCTTGGGTACCTAACATAACCAGACATAACTATAATATCATCTACTGTTTTTTTGGGTCTTTGTCACATTTTTAGTTGAGCTTTTTCAGGCAGAAAAGTGAATTTTGTTAAATTTTACTGTAATGAGACTTTCTCTTGGGACAGACAAAATGCATTATTTGTGGTAAAAAGGGTAATGCTTGCCAGGGGATCTATAGATAGAGAAATAGCAGCTTTTTAAGTGCTTCACACATATTTGCAAAACTTCCACACATATATTAACATTAAAAATCACGCATTTGACTCTCAATGTATTGGAGATGTGTAATAAAAAATATATATACAGTATAATGCGAAAAAGCATATCTTCAAATTCACTTTCCCGATATTATCATCTATGAAGTATATCGCCCACCCCTGCTGTCACATGAGAAAAGCTCAAAAAAATGAATTTGTATAATGTGTGTTTCTTCAGACGGACAAACAGATCTCAAACCAGACTGGATAAAATATGTTTGAATCGAACAAAGTCAAAAGGACAAAGTGTGGAGTGTACTTTTGTCTCCTCAGTGAAAAATGTGTCTGACACGACCACAGAAAGTGTCCCGGGTTTGTCTGACCTAATTATAAGATGGATTACCTCCGATGTTCACTGGTGGAAGAGTTTTAGTTTTCGTTCACTCAACCCACTTGGACTAACCCACTTTCATTTCATTTATTTAATAGTTTATTTGGATAGGGACGATACACATTAATCAACATTGCTGTAAATGTGTCAGTATTAGCTAACAGCTAGTTTCCAACTGTAGTCCATAGGCAAGGTGTAAAATGCCATCAAAGTGCACTGCAAAAAATTACAATTACATTACAATACATTACATCACATGACAATATAGAGTAACTAGTTAAAACATTTCAGTTTAAAACACATAATTAAAACATATAAAAGCAAGTAATGCATCATGAGTGGTTACAATCTTGATTGTCCAATAACCAGGCTTTCAACGTATGTTTAAAAGTCCTGTGTGTGGTGCTATTTTTTATATGGACTGGGATTGTGTTCCAAAACTGAACGGCGCGCACTGAGAAAGCTGATTGGCCAAAGGAACTTGTTCTCACGTCTTATAGAACTGGTATTTCCACCTTTGTGCACATTCGAGAGCTCTCCAGGAGGTTATGGC